AGAAAAAAAAAACAGAAAAGAAAATCGGAGAGCTGGGTGTGGGGGATATATCTAAGTAGTCAATAGGTAAGCATCAGACAGAAACATTTACAGTTAGTTGGAGGAGAAGTGATCAAATAGTGGGCTGGGTGGCACCTCACAGTGTGGCTGGAGGAATAAGGAGGGAATGAATTTAAAATACTATGGAGACACCATGATGAGGCCTTAGCAACCTACCCGGCTCTCAGGCCCACATCTAGGATGAGAACAAGCAGGATTGCAAGGAAGGAGCGTCTTCCCCTCTGCACTGCCTAGCATCTGGGAGGATGCCCTTGGCCGTCATTCCATGGTCCAGAGGGCCGCACCCAGGGTGACTGATCCTCCAAGCCTGTGGCCCCATTCCTTCAGCGTTACCCCCAGAAGCTAGAAGCACATCAGTATGGAGGTTTTCCTAAATAACTGATATTGAATCATCAGTGCAAGTTCAATGTCAGGTTTTGGAGGGACAATATGAACAAGAGTGGTTCTGAACAAATGAGGAATTGAGTTCCTCTTTCATGTAGTCTCTCTCTTTCCTCTTCCGAAAGCACCCGGAAGTGGTCTCTCTGGTCCAGTCCACACCTCCAGGTGACGTCCTTCCTGCTGCAAGCCCGCACATTTTCCCAGACCCAGCTCCAACCCCACATCCTGAGGACAGTTGCTCCCTCGATGCTTCCGGTCCCGCTGCTGTCCTTTCGGAGTGGTTTCATGCTTTCCCAGCGGGCCCGAAGCACCGGCATCGCCAGCGTTCGCACATTGTCTGACTCAGCGGCTCCGTGTCTTACTCCTAGAAGCAGAACGTGACTCAGTCACCCAGGAAAGGACTGAGGGAGGGCACGCCCGGGGTCTCACGTAGTGCTAGATTCCCAAGAAAGCAGATGCGCTGCTTTCTCGCTGGTGAGTGGACCGGGCCATGCGGAAGCCAAGAGGACCCTGTCTCCGTGAGAGGCTGGACTTAGTGCCTTGTATCCTATTTCCTTAAGAGCCCAAAGAGGGCTTTTCTCTTCTTTCAGCCAACAAATATTTACCTAGTACCTGCCGGATACCTGTCGGAACCTCTGCAGAGAAAACAGGGAGCAAGACCGTTTCCAGAGCTTATTGAGGGGGATCAAAAAACTTGCAAGCGGATTAGCATGTCCAGTTATATTAAACACAGAGTTATGCTCTCTAAATGGAATTGCATTTTGAGGACAAGGTCCTGGGGTCAGTTTCACTTTTTTTTTTTTTTTTTTTTTTGACACAGTTTCACTGTTAAGACTCAGCTGATGGAGCAGGCATTTGGTGCAGAGATTAACAAGCAGCTTGGGATGTCCATATCCCATGACTGGGGTACATGGGTTCGAGTCCCAGCTCTGCTCCCAATTTCAGCTTCCTGCTAATGTGCACCTTGGGAGGCAGCCGGTGATGGCTCAAGTACCTGAGTCCCTGCCACTCATGTGAGAGACATGGACCCTGGGCACGCTCTCTCTCTCTTTCTCTTTGCCTTAAAAAAAAAAAAAAGATTAATCTAAAACATCTTTGCATTTTCTCCTGAAACCTTACATTTCTTCACAAAACCACTCTGCTCCTGACTTCTGCCAGTGTCTGAAGTCTGGCTGGGATGCATGGAGCCTCTAGAAGGAGTGTCAGCTGGGGACAAGATCTAGCAGAGAAAGGAAGAGGACCTGGAGTTCCTGTGTTCAGATAGGCGATCCTTTGGCTGTGAAGGAGCCATGGCACAGGGCAGCTGGGAACCCTGGATGTGCAGATTCAGGCCACACCCTCTGCCACCATCCCATCTACAGTGGAGTGGATAAGGCTGGGGGGGGGGGCACAGAGTTCTGAGAGCGAGCTTGTGCGAGGCCCCTGAGTGTTGCAAACATCACCACCTGTCATTCTTGGTTCTGGTCCCCACCGTACTTTTCTCTTGATATTTCCCGGGCTTACCGCACGATGGCTTTGTCTGTTCATTGTCACATGTCAGGCACTTGGCAGAGTAACTGGCACACAGCAGGCGCTCAGTGAACGTACTGAAGGAGCAAGGAAATGAGCGGAGACAGGGAACCCAGCAGATGTTGGAGCAGTCCATTCTCCCCTTCTGCAAGGGTCCTGACTGCAGGGTTTTCGACTCCCCCTCCCCCAGGCCCCGCATTCCACACCCTTACCCGCGGAGTCTGTGTGGAGGGATGCCTGCCTGCACCCCAGGAGGTCTCTGTAGCAGTGCACCTTCCCCGGACTCACATCTCACGGGCAGAGCTTTCATTGAATAGGGCACCTGGAGACTGAACAAGGGGTCCCCACCTAGGGTGGCGGCGCCAGAGAAGTCTCCATTCTGCCTGCCCCAGGGACCCCTTCTCCTCCCACGCCCACCCAGGAATGTAAGAGAGGGAAGGCAGCTGCTTGCCTCTGCCCTGGGACCCCTCGGGGGTGGCTCACATCTGTGCTGCCAGGACAGAGGGCGTGTGGGCGTTCAGGTTCATGTACCACACATCTGGAAGGCAGAGAGAAGCCAACACACAGGCTACAGCCTTTGCTTTTGAAACAGTTTTTTTTTTTTTTTTAATATATCTTTTTTAATGGGCTGAGAGTTTGGTGGAGCTTATTCCCACAGGGTGCTGGGGAACAGCTGCCTGGAGCGACCCTGGTGTCTGTGTTTATAAGGGGCGGGATTAGCGACCCCTGGGAAGTCTGGCCTGTGGGGGGCAGTCAGAGCCGCAGGTCCTTTAGCAGCCCCTGCGTGGCCTCCGTGGGTCCCGGAGTTTGCAGGGCCAGAAAGGGTTCCCCGGGAGCCTAATGAAAGAGCGTGTCCGGGATGAGAGGGGTGACAGGAGGACTGTCACCAGGTGGGAGACAGAACTCTGTTCTCCAGTGGTGGGATGGTGTGGGCACAGGTACGCTGGTGGGTGCGGCAGGAGGGCCAGGGAGCTGGAGGAAGGCAGGAGACACAGGAAGGAATGGGGGGCAGCTCTGGCTCTGCGATCCCCAAGGACTGGTAGGTGGAGGGGAGGATGTTTGGACAAGGAAATGCTTTGAAGCTTTTCTCTCGTCCTCCCTGCCCTGGGCCTGGTCCCCTCCCCTCCATAAAGCCATTAGCTTCTGGTGCCAGCCCTATCTCTGCCCCATCTCTCTCGGTTCCAGTCGGTGCATTCACAGACCTCCTGCCCCGAGGGTGGGGGAGGATTTATGGGGGAGGGGGAGGGGGCATCCTTTAGAGAAGGAGAGGTCTGCTGGGAAAGTAGGGTGTTGGGAGCTGTGAGCCCCGCGCTGGAGGCCGGATCATTTCCGAGAGCGGGCTCTGCATGACAAAGGGCAAGGGGCGAGTTTCTTCTTTGATCTGCCCCCTGCCGGCCCCACACACCTGCCTGTTGGCGCCCCCGCCCCAGCAAAGACCTCCAGGAGAAAAACCAAAAGGGGGTGGGGAAAAGGCTGTGTCCCGGCTCTCCCGGAGCCGGCTCAGGCCACCTTCCTCGCTTGGTGGCCCCAGGGCAAAAATATTTCCTCCACTGATGGCCCCAAGCACCTGCCGCCCCCTCCCGGGGAGCCTGGAGATCCAGACCCGCGGGACCGGCGCGGTGAGATGGGGTGGGCGAGCGTGGGCGGCGGGCGGCAGAGGTGTTAAGGGGTCTTGGGCAGAAGACTCGCTGGAGATGTGGGGTCACGCCCCAGGGGGAAGCTAGAGAGATGAGGCGGGTGCGAGCGGGAGGGGGCGTGTTTTTGTCTACCGGCTCTCGGATCCAGAAGCATGGACTTTCCGAATGTTTGGAAGGGCTTCGGGAGGGGTGATCTCTGCAGATGTAGATATACAGGCATCGGTTATGGAAAGCACAGGCAGAGGTCTGGGGCTGCAGGGAGGGGCTGAGGCTCTGGCACAGGCTCTGGCTGGGCCAGGTGCGGGCCCCAGCGCCGCAGCGGGGAAAGGTGCTCATTGCGGTCCCTGCAGCCGTAGGTGCACAGGAAGGCACTGGTCCACCTCCCCTGGTACTGCCTCAGCCACCAAGACTTTCTCAAGACAGGCAGTTGGCTCTGTGGGTTTTTTAAAATAACATACCAAACATGTTTTAAAATATTTACTTATTTTCATCTACTTGAAAGGCAGAGATCTTCCATCTGCTGGTTCACTCAATTGCCTGCAAAAGCCAGCGCTGGACCAGGCTGAAGCCTGGGTTAGGGTTAGGGTTAGGGTTAGGGTTAGGTCTCCCACATGGGTGGCAGGGGCCCAAGTACTTGGGTCATCATCTGCTGCCTCCCAGGGTGCATTATCAGGGAGCTGGATCAGAGCAGAGGAGCCAGCACTCTGATAGAGGATGTGGGTGTCCCAACAGGCAGCTTAGCCCCCTGCACCACAGTACCCTCCCCTGGCTCTTACATCTCTCTGTGGAGTTAACCTGAGCAAGTGACAAGTCTGCTCTTCTTTCTGCTATAACTCTTGGGGGGAACATGGGTGAGACTTGGAAAACTTATTTGGGAAGACCCCAGTTAGGATGTATGTAGAGCATACAGTTTTTAAAAATTGTTTTTAATTTATTTTCATTTTTATTTGCAATGCAGAAAGATATAGAAAGATCTTCTATTTGTTATATTTCCCAAATGCCCACAGCAACCAGGACTGGGCCAGGCTGAAGCCTAGAATCTGGAACTCCATCCAGGTCTCTTGTGTGGGTGGCAGGGGCCCAAGTACTTGGCTCATCAGCTGCTGCCTCCTGGCTTATGCACTAGCTGGAAGTTGGGTCAGAAGGGGAGTTGGGACTCAAACCCAGGCACTCTGGTATGAGATGTGGGCGCACCTCTAACTGTGTTTTGGAAATGCTTTGTTTCCATTTCTCTTTCCTGGTTTCTCAGCTCATTGTCTCCTTTGCAGTGAGGGTTCCCACTGTTAAGGGTGGGAGGTGAGACGATAAGCAGGTTGGAAGGACTGTTGACTGTCCTTGGGGATGGGGGAGAACTTGACTTCAAGTCCACCCCCATCTCCACACTGACTCTCCCATCATCTCTGTTTTCTCCAGGGTGCCGCACTTTGGAAGCTGTCAGCGCCAGGGCCCTGGGGAGGGCTGAGGCCGACCATGCCCAGCCTGCTGCTGCTGTTCACTGCTGCTCTGCTCTCCAGCTGGGCCCAGCTCCTGGCAGACGCCAGCTCCTGGTGGTGAGTGCGGGGCTGAGGTCTGCTTCTGCAGCCTGAGGCCTCCTTCGGTGATGGCCCAGTGGAGAAGGGGCATCATCCATGTGGTCCCAGGTGTGCTGAGGGAGGGCCTCTTTTATATAAACCCAGGAGAACAGGCAGGGCTCTTGTGTGTGTGTGTGTGTGTGTGTGTGTTTAAGATTGATTTATTTATTTGAAAGTTACACAGAGAGAGAAGGAGAGGCAGAGAGAGGTCTTCCATCCGCTGGTTCACTCCCCAATTGGCCATAACGGCCAGAGCCGCACCAATCCAAAGCCAGGAGCCAGGAGCTTCTACCAGGTCTCCCACGCGGGTGCAGGGGCCCAAGGACTTGGGCCATCTTCTACTGCTTTCCCAGGCAATAGCACAGAGCTGGATTGGAAGTGGAGCAGCCCCGTCTCGAACCGGCACCCATATGGGATGCTGGCACCACAGGCAGCGGCTTTACTCACTGCGCCACAGCACTGGCCCCAGGGTTCTTTCTCTGTCTCAAGTCCCCAGAGGTGAGGGTTCTCCACGGGTAAAGGACTTGATTGTTTGATTTTCTTCTTGGGTCCCAACCTCATTCGCATTTTGTGGGCCTTCCTGCATGCCCATGGGTTGCCATCCAGAGCTCTGCTTCTGTGTTGGGTGTCTAGGAGTCCTGACAGCTGTTTGCTTGACTTACTCTTTTGCTGATAGGGGCAGAGACAGGAGAATTCCTGCTTTAGACGTCTGATGATGAGATGTGGGATTTGAGTTCCATGCGTGGCTTTCTTTTTGTGTTTTGAAGGCCAAGTCAACTTGGATGGCATGGACATGCGGTGGTCACCTCTTTTACATGATTTCTGGGCCCTGCTCACATTTGTACTCAGATGGCAAATCTACAGCCTTCTTGTTGAACTTAACACTTTATCATGTCTGGTATGTGGCGAGGAAGAGGGGGGCCCTGCATGGATGGAGATCGCATTAGGAGATGTGCACGTGGAAGTAAATGCATATAGAATACATTATGATGTAAATAAAGTGGGCTGTGTTTTATTTTGTTTTCAATTTTTCTTTTAAAGATGTATTTATTTATTTGAAAGTCAGTGTTACAGAGAGAGGAGGAGAAGAGAGAGAGAGAGAGAGAGAGAGAGAGAGAGAAAGATCCTCTATCTGTTGGTTCACTCCCCAGACGGCTGCAATGGCCAGGGCTGGGCAAGGCCGAATCCAGGAGCCGGAAACTTCTTCCCAGTCTCCCACGTGGGTGCAGGGGGCAAGCACTTGGGCCAGTTTCCGCTGTTTTTCCCAGGTGCATTAGCAGTGAGCTGGATCGGAAGTGGAGCAGCCAGGATGTACACCCAGCACCCATATGGGATGCTGGCGTCTTGGGCGGCAGCTTTACCTGCTAAGCCACAACACTGGCACCTTTACTTTTTCAATTAATTAATTTGAGAGACAGAGAGGACAAGCTCCATCTGCTGGTTTACTCCCCAAATGCCCACATGGCCAGGGCTGGTTCTCCATGTGGGTGGCAGGGACCCAGTCACATCAGCTATCATCTGCTCTCTCTCCCAGAATCCACTTGGGCAGGAAGCTGGAATCAAGAACTGGAGGGAGGAATTGAACCCAGGCATTCCGATGTGGGACACGTGTATCTTAACTGCTAGGAGGAATGCCTACTCCTGGAGTCCAAGGGAGATCTTTTTTTTAAAGATTTATTTATTTCAAAGTCATAGCAACAGAGAGAGAAACTGAGAGAGAGAGAGAAAAAAATCTTCCATCTTCTGATTCACTCCCCAAATGGCTGCAACAGCCAGTTGTGGGCCAGGCTGAAGCCAGGAGCCAGGAACTTCATCCTCATCTCCCACGTGGTGCCAAGCTCTTGCACCATCTTTCGCTGCCTTCTCAGACATGAGCAAGGCACTGGATCAGAAGCACAGTGGCTGAGACTTGAATCGGTACTCCGATATGGGATGCCCATGTTATAAGCGGTGGCTTAAGCTACTGCACCACCATACTTGCCCCAGAGAGTTCCTTTTGAAGGAGATGATTGCTTTCCATCAGGTATCCTGCACTTGGGCTAACGTGAATCTTTGCCATGTGCATCAGATGAATGGCTGTACACCTGCCCCCAGCTGCATATGCATCTCTGCCTGTCCCTGTCCAGTTCAAGTCCTCACCACCTCCTCACAGAGGGCTTTTGGTGGATCCAGAGCTCCACTGTGATAGATATTTGGCTTCCCACCTGGCGTTTCTGCTTGCACCTGTTTCTGTCTGGTCATTCTCTGATGGTAGACACTCTCTTTTACTAATTTTCCTTTTCAAATCCCTAGACCAGGGCCTGGTATACAGAAAGCACTCAATAAATGTGTTGAATGAGTGACTCAGTGTCTTCTTCTCCCTTTCCTCATTGTTGTTGTAGGTCCTTAGCCATGAGCCCGGTGCAGAGACCTGAGATGTTTATCATCGGCGCTCAGCCTGTGTGCAGTCAGCTTCCCGGGCTCTCCCCTGGCCAGAGAAAGCTGTGCCAGCTGTACCAGGAGCACATGGCCTACATTGGAGAGGGAGCCAAGATGGGCATCAAGGAGTGCCAGTACCAGTTCCGGCAGAGGCGGTGGAATTGCAGCACGGTGGACAACTCGTCCGTCTTTGGGAGAGTCATGCAGATAGGTATGGCGTGGCTGCGCACCTGTGCTCCTGCCTAGGTGCCATTCATTCTCTGCACTGGCAGAGCTCCAGTGAGCGCCTTCCTGGGTGTCTGTGCAGGGAGGGGAGCTTGTCCTCTGCTTGGTCCTCTGGAGCGGGGCTGCCTCTGGGAGGGGGTCAGAATATCTGAGTTGCGTTAGAGTGGGTTAGAAGACCCGCCCACCACTGCCTCCTTTGTCTTCTCTGCCACAAGGGCCTCCTTTGAGTGTTTTTGAGAGCCTTGGGTGGAGAACCAAAAATTGCTGCCCTGAATGTCTGCAGTATTTTTGTCTCTTCCCCTTGGACCCTTGGAAGAGAGAGGGAAATGTTGGGCCAAGTTGGCAATAGCTGTCATTGGCGATCCAGACCCATGGCTTTTTCATTTGAAAGGGGATGTGTGTGAAAGTGGGGGAAGGGGACAGACTGAAGAAGAAAGATGAGAGAAGGGGACTCTTCCTGGATTCCTGTCCCTTCCCCTCTGGGGCGAGGATTCTTTGGCCATGCTATTGCTTAGTTGGAGGTGTGAGCTGAGGTCTAATTGTTTTAGGTCCTTTTGAAATGCAATCCTCCCCTCCCTGGCACAAAATTGAGAAATCCGGCCCTATTCTACTGGGTCTTATCCACAGGGCCATAAAAGGAAGGTGTTGAGCTCTGCATTCAGCTCCCCCTGAAAAGGGGACATGGAGCTACCTGGAGAGGGGTGGGAGTTCCCAGGCAGCACTGTCAGGAAAGGTGCTTGCAAGGCCCTCTGTCCTCCCTTTAACTCCAGACCTCTTTCCTCAACCACTCCTGCCCCAAAATACACTTGGCCCCTGGCTGCCTGTGTGCTTCCTTCAAGCGTGCTCCCGAGACAGCCTCTGGGGCAGCTTTCCGCAACGAGCGCACGTGGGCTAAGTGGGGATGTAGTCACAACGTCTGGCGTCCTCTGCAGGCCACAGCGTCTGTTCCTCCCCTGGTGAAATTGTCCTGGGAGCTCTCCCTGCCTTGTATTTGGCTGAGCAGGGACATCCTCTAATCACACGGGGACCTGATGGGGGCTACATCCTTTTCATGTGCTGATTTCATATTTGCTAAAGCCAAAAAGAGAGGCTTTGCTTTAGGAAAGCAAAGGGTTAGTGGGAGTAGAAACTGGGCTGGGTTCAGATGTGTGTGGTGGAATGGGAGTAAGGGAAAAGGTTTATTGTTGAGTGGGGGGAATCCAACAGGCTGCCTCCCCGTGTACAGAGAGAGCAGCCTGTACCGGGCGAACAGGTCTTATATAGCTTTGCAGAGGTGAGGAAGTGGGAGCGGCAGATCCATGAGGGTAGGGGTGGAGGTGACGCTTGTGATTGGGCCATTTAGTCACCTGACTTCTAGTAAACCAGGCCGGGCCTAGGAAGGTGGCACCATTTTACTAACAACTTGCCTTAAAAAAATTTTAAACATATTTTATTTATTTGAAAGGTCGACAAACAGAGCTCCCATCCACTTGTTCACTCCCCAGATACCTGCAACAGCCAGGGCTGGGCCAGGACAAAGCCAAGAACCAAGAACCCCATTCGGGTCTCCCACGTGGGTAGCAGGGACCCAAGTGCTTGAGCCATCACCTGCTGCCTCCCAGGGTGCACGTTAACAGGAAGTTAGAATGGAGAGTAGAGGCAGGACTTGAACCAATATAGGATGTAGGCATCCCAAGCCACGTCTTAACTGCTATGTCAGATGCCTGTTCCCTTCATTCCTGTTTTTATTTTTATCTTTTTAAAAGATTTATTTATTTATTTGAAAGTCAGAGTTACACAGAGAAGGAGAGGCAAAGAGAGAGGTCTTCCATCCAATGGTTCACTCCCCAATTGGCCGCAACGACTGGAGCTGCGCCAATCCGCAGCCAGGAGCCAGGAGCTTCTTCTGGGTCTCCCACATGGGTGCAGGGGCCTAAGGACTTGGGCCATCTTCCACTGCTTCCCCAGGCCATAGCAGAGAGCTGGATTGGAAGTGGAGCAGCCAGGTCTCAAACCGGCGCCCATATGGGATGCAGGTGCTTCAGGCCAGGGCGTTAACCTGCTGCACCACAGTGCCATTTCTGTTTTTAAAAAATGTATTTATTTTCATCTACTTGAAAGGCATAGTGACAGAGAGAGAGAGAGAGAGAGAGAGAGAAAGCACCTACTTCCTGGTTCTTTCTTCAAATGCCTGCAACAACCAGGGCTGGGCCAGGCCAAAGCCAGGAGCCAGGAACGCCTTCCAGGTCTCCCACATTTGTTGCAGGGGCCCAAGACCTTGAGCCATGTGCTGCCTTCCAGAATGCATTGGCAGGCAGCTGGATCAGAAGTGCGTAACCAGGACTTGAACCAGGCGCTGTGATGTGGGATGCAGGAGCCCCAAGTGTCAGCTTAACCCACTGCAACACAGTGACACAGCGCATGTCTGCACCCTTTTTAGAGCTGGTGCTACCTGGCCAGCTGTCCTTTCTTCCCAATGGGTTTAGGGTAGTTCTGGGTGAGTCCCCTCACTATCTTGGTGCATGGCTTCCGAAAGACTTTTACTGTAAAGCTACTGCAAAAGCCAGCAGCAGAGGGCAGCAGAGCAGCTTGGAGCAGCCCTGGCACTTTCCCCAGCCTCTGCCTAGGCAGGCCTGGAGGCGCCTTCCTGGTGCGGTTAGGCTGGCTTCTTGTCCGGGTGGGGGAGGGGTGGAGGAATGTAAGGTCTCTAGGGGCTGCTTTCTGAGTTTCAGCTCTGAACTGAGAAGCCTCTCCCCCCACCACCACCCGGCCCAATTGCTTATACATTCAGAAGCTGCCCCTCTCTTGCTAAGGGGACACTAGCAGTAGCCTGAGTCCTGTCTGCAGGGCCCCAGAAAGGACGGCGTTGAGTTCTGCGTTCTGCACTCCTCCCGTCGGGTAGCAGCTCCTCCTGAGAAGAGAGTTACCTGGGAAAGGGTGGGGTGCTTCCCAGGCAGCTGGGATATTAGGGTTTCATGTCCACTGTCACAAAGGGGCCCAAACGCTGCTCCGTGAAGGCAGAGCACCCCACACTCGATGACTCAGGATGCCCCGCCCCAGCAGAGACAGAGGCAGAGTGGCTCTAGGTTGCAGGCAGCCATACTTTGGTTTAATATTAGAAAGAACATTCTGGTGGTTAGAGTCATTAAACAAGGGACAGGGTGGTTGCTTTGAAAACCTAGCCACCTGTTCAAGGAACACCATGCGGAGGTGTAGCTCAGGCTGTTCCGGGTGCCCCATCTCGGGGTTGGGACTGCAGTTCAGGAAGGCTGCTCAGGGATGAGTCCCTCCAGATGGAGCCCACAGCCTCCTCCCTCACAGTCTCCGGCCGTCTGACTGTCCTGGGTGTGCACTGTCACAGTCTGACTCCCTTCAACCGCGTCCCTGGGCTGTAGCTGAGGCTGTGGTTCAGGCCTGACTCAGATGTCAGTCCTGAGGGCTGAGTCACGCCTGCAACTTCCTGCCATTGTTTGGGGTTTTCTCGGGCTGTTCCTATTCTGTAACCGTCCAGAAGCCAGCCCCTGGTTTACTCATCCGGTGTTGTGTGGTGTGGTTGCCAAGGTCACTGCCATGTCTGGCAATCAGGAAGTAGGGCAGGGTGGGAGATCGCTCTGGACCTAAGCATTGATTGCTTCTTGGCAAACGCTGCCCTTGCACCTGCCAAGACAGCACTGTGGGATGTCTGCCCCGACCTCAGGGGAGGAAGAAATGGAGAACAGAAGAGCCTGCCTGGCTTTGTCTCCGAAATCGGTATTGAATCTGTGTCCTGCTAAGAACCGTTCCCTTCCCCCCTTATCTGAGTCCATATACCTTTTATTTTTACTTAGATCAGGTTTACTTAGACACAATTCACATACCATGTAATTCACCACCTTAAAGTATACAATTGACAGGCTTCTAGTGTAGTGCCTTCACAGGCTGTGCAGCCCTCACCACTGATTCCAGGACATTTTCTTGCCCCATAGAAAAACTGCCTACCCCTTAGCGGTCACTCTCTCTCCCGGCAGTGCCCAGTGCAGGACAGCCACTAAGGCTTCTGCCACCAGGAGCATTGCCTATTGCCTTTTCTGGACATTTCACGTAAATGGGGTCGTGACCTTTGGTGATTGGCATTTCTTATAATTTTTTGTTTGTTTTTAAATATTCATTTATTTGAAAGGCAGTTAGAGAGAGAGACAGAGAGAGAGGGAGATCTTCCATCATCTGATGCACTCCTTAAATGGTCACAACAGCCTGGGCTGGACCAGCCTGAAGCCAGGAACCTGGAATTTCATCTGGGTCTCCCACGTGGGTGGCAGGGACCACGCACTCTGCTGCTTTCCCAGGTACATTAGCAGGGAGCTAGATCAGAAGTGGAGAAGCCAGAACAGGAACCAGCACTCAGATATGGGATGTTGGCTTTGCAGGCAGCAGCTTAACCTGCTGCACCACAACACCCATCTCCTTCATAATGACTTACAGTTTCATGCATGTTGTAGCATGTATCAGTATGTTATTCCTTTTATGGCTGAATAATGTTCCACTGTATGGAGAATACATACAGTGTATTCTTGATACATACAGTGTATTGTTGATCCATTCTTCCGCCGATGGACGGTTGGGTTGTTTCTGCTTTGTGGCTGCCATGAGCATTCACGTGTGAGTTTTCTGTGGACATATGTTCTCATTTCTCTTGGGTGCAGTCTGAGGCGTGGGATTGCCGGGTCATGTGGCAGCTCTAAGTTTAACCTCTTGAGGAGCTGCCAGGTTTTCCCGAAGCAGCTGCACCCTGCAGCACTCCCCACAGCAGTACAGAAGCGTTGTAATTTTCCCATCGCCTTGCAAACTTGTTATTAGCTCTCTTTTGATTATAGCCATTCTAGAGGGTGTGAAGTGATATCTTCTTGTGATTTGCATTTCTCTGGTAGCTGAGTGTTATTTTTTTATAAGCATTTTTACTGAAATGGAAGATACCGCATCATCTGAGTTTGCGAGTGGTCACTACAGCATAAAAAAAAAAGAACAGAGTCAGGGTTTTTCTCCTGGACAATCACCTGGATTTGGAGAGGGAGGGTGCTGAGAGTCTGTGCCATAGACACCGTGACCAGTGAGTCGGGAGGCAGGGGAGTCCTCTGGAAGAGAGAGGGAGGTGGTTTGGATTGCTCTGGAGTTTTAATTCTAGTTCACTTTCTTTTTTAAATTTTTTTTTTATTTTTAAAAGATTTATTTATTTATCTGAAAGGCAGAGTTATAAAGAGGCAGAGGCAGAGAGAGAGGTCTTCCATCCGCTGGTTCACTCCCCAGATGGCCACAATGGCCGGAGCTGAGCTGATCCGAAGCCAGGAGCCAGGAGCTTCCTCCAGGTCTCCCACGCAGGTGCAGGGGCCCAAGGACTTGGGCCATCTTCTACTGCTTTCCCAGGCCATAGCAGAGAGCTGGATCGGAAGTAGAGTAGCCAGGACTTGAACTGGCTTCTATATGGGATGCGGGCACTGCAGACGGAGGCTTGACCAGGTACGCGACAGCTCCAGCCCCTCTTGTGCACTTTCTACCCCCAGCCCCTGCCACTCTAGCTAGATAAGGGCAGCGACGAAAGGTGGGGAGCATCATCTGTGCTGAGAAGTCACATCTGGGAGAGAAGACTTCGGTAGGACAGGCTACTGATCTCTTGCTTTCTTCTCAGTCTTAGACCCACAAGATCCATCCTTTTTTTTTTAAGATTTATTTATTTATTTATTTGAAAGTCATAGTTACACAGAGAGAGAAGGAAACGCAGAAAGAGAGAGAGGTCTTCCATCCTCTGGTTCATTTCCCAGTTGGCCACAACGACCAGAACTGCACCGATCCGAAGCCAGGAGCCAGGATCTTCCTCTGGGTCTCCCATGCTGGTGCAGGGGCCCAAGGGCTTGGGCCATCTTCCACATCTTCCACTGCTTTCCCAGCCCATAGCAGAGAGTTGGATCGGAAGTGAAGCAACCGGGACTTGAACCAGCGCCCACATGGGATGCTGGCACTGCAGGCAGTGGCTTCAGCCACTTCAGCCACAGTGCCTGCCCCACATCAATTTTTTTTTTTGAACCAGCGCTTGAACCCAGGCAATGTTAACCAGTAGGCTGAGGACCCACTCTGTTCCCTCAATTCCTGAATTCCCATTCTCCCTCCTGAGAATTTCTGAGTCATAGCATCCACCCTGCGATGGACGTCAGGCTAGGCCAGCACCAGCAGGATGCACTTTACCCAGAAAGGTTTCACCGCGGGGATCCAAGGCCCAGAGGCAGAAATTCAGCCCTTTGAGAAAGAGTTTCTAACACATGGACCTCTGGGGCAAGGTGCTCCCCCAGAGGGTATCCCAGCCAAGGCAGGGTGGGGGCGGCCAGGCGGAGGCGGAGGCCGAGGAGAGTGACCGCCTCCCACCTCTCTCATCTCCTCTTGCAGGCAGCCGCGAGACGGCCTTCACCTACGCCGTGAGCGCCGCGGGGGTGGTGAACGCCATCAGCCGGGCCTGCCGCGAGGGCGAGCTGTCCACCTGTGGCTGCAGCCGGACAGCGCGGCCCAAGGACCTGCCCCGGGACTGGCTGTGGGGTGGCTGCGGGGACAACGTGGAATACGGCTACCGCTTTGCTAAGGAGTTTGTGGACGCCCGGGAGCGGGAGAAGAACTTCGCCAAGGGATCGGAGGAGCAGGGCCGCGTGCTCATGAACCTGCAGAACAACGAGGCAGGCAGAAGGGTAAGGCGGGCCCCTGGTGCCCCGGCCCACGCAGGGGCCTGGGCAGTCAGTCCGACGGCGGAGGTTCCCACGGGCAGCTGCCCACGTTACTGAGCAAATCCTGGCCCAGATGCCCCATGTCTTGGGAGGCACAGGGGATTGTCATTTTCTAACCTTGTTTGTTACCTCACAGGACATCTGTCCCTTCAAGGCCTGGGTGCAGCGTTTGAGTGAACATTCTAGACACACAGAGTTCTTGTCTGGAATGCCACTGCTTCGTAATCCGAACAGATAAGATGATTGGAAGTCGAAGGTGTAAGAGCTGGCTTTTGACTTGTTAAAGGCTTAGATAAAGCCAGCTCCGACTTCCAGGAGCTGTTGTCACATGTATCCGGGAGTCCAGGCAACAAACACATTCAAGTCCAAAGGAGGCATGTTTCCGCGTTAGCTGTTTTTAAACTTAAGTGGAAGTGTGAAAAGACAGCTGTCTTTTTAAGGCTCAAGCAAACTGTCACACGTATCCTGTGTGAAATGTGACTGCCTCCCTAAGCCTCAGTTTCAGTAGTAACTAAAACAGAATTTTTTTTTTAATTAATTTGAGAGCCAGAGACACAGCTCCTGTCCACTGGTTCACTCCCCAAATGCCTGCCAGAGTTGGACCGAGCCAAGCCGAAGCCGGAACTTAATCCAGGTCCCCCATGTGGGTTGCAGGGACCCACCTACTTGAGCTATCCCTTGCTGCTTCCCAGCGTCTGCATGAGGAGGAAGCCTGGCGTCAGGAGCAGAGCCAGGAATTGAACCCAGGCACTCCGGTGTGGGAGGCAGGTGTCTTAACCAGCGTCCTAACTGCTGAAGTTCTCCGCCGAGCTTGGTTTGTTCCACGTGCAGAGCGCACCTGGGCAGGAGCTTCAGGTTGCTGTCTCTGCTGCTCCCAGACCGCGTTTCTTCAGGGCCTGCAGCTTGTCTGTGAAGACCCCGCGTCTGGGCTATCCCCTGCCGTGGGCTGCCTCTGCCACCAGAAACTGGAAGGCCTGCCCTGCCCTACGGGGAGCTTCCTTGTGCTGGCTCAGCAGAGCCAGCCTGGACAGGGCCTGGAGGGCCGTGTAGGTGCGCATCCAGCCTTTTATTCAGCACATCCTGAGGTCTGAGTGCTGGGCAGTGGGAAAGAACCCGTCAGGAAACCACACAGACTTTTTTTCTTGGATTGTTGTCCCTGCTCAGGGCTGATTCCAGCTAGCTGGCTCTGCGTCCCAGGTGCAGCACCACAGTGAGGTTAAAGATGAACTCCAGGGGCCAGTGCTGTGGCACAGTGGGTTAAGCCTCCTCCTGTAGCACCAGCATCCCATATAGGCACTGGTTCTAGTCCCAGTTGCTCCTCTCCCCATCCAGCTCTCTGCTATGGCCTGGGAAAGCAGTAGAAGATGGCCCAAGTGCTTGGGCCCCTGCCACCCACCTGGGAGACCCGGAAGAAGCTCCTGGCTCCTGGCTTTGGATTGGCCCAGCTCTAGCCATGGCAGCCATTTGGGGAGTGAACCAGCAGATGGAAGACCTCTCTCTCTGTGTCTCCCTCTCACTGTCTGTAACTTTACCTCTCAAATAAATAAATAAAGTCTTTTAAAAAAAAAGATGAATTCCATGGAAAAAAAAAAAGGAACTGTCAGTCCTTGAGAAAAGGTAAAGTCAGGTTTCTTTTTTTTTTTTTTTTTAATATTTATTAATTTATTTAAAAGTCAGAATTACACAGAGAGAAAAGGAGAGGCGCACAGAGAGGTCTTCCATCCTCTGGTTCACTCCCCAATTGGCTGCAACAATCAGAGTTGAGCCAATCTGAAGCCAGGAGCCAGGAGTTTCTTCTGGGTCTCCACACAGGTACAGGGACCCAAGGATTTGGGCCATCTTCTACCGCTTTTCCAGGCCATAGCAGAGAGCTGGATTGGAAGTGGAGCAGCCGGGACTCAAACCAGTGCCCACATTGGATGCTGGCATTGCAGGCAGTGACTTTACCCACTACACCACAGTGCCGGCCCCAAGGTCAGGTGTTTAACATTGGCTCATTGGTGATTCAGCAACAGGATATGAAAATATTTCAGAAAATACCTTTATATAACAAAAATTTTTAAAAAATCGTATTTCTTAGGAGCACATATCAAGTAAATGAAATTAAAATTAGAAATGTCTTTAGTATGAATCGAGATCTTTTTTTAAGTCAGAGTTACAAAGAGAGAGAGAGACATCTTCCACCCGCTGGTTTACTCCTCAGATGGCCACAATGACCAGGCCAAAGCCAGGAGCTTCTTCCAGGTCTCCCACATGGGTGCAAGGGCCCAAGCGCTTGGGCCACCCTTCACTGCTTTTTCCAGGCCATTAGCAGGGAGCTGGATGAGAAGTGGAGCAGCCAGGACTCAAACCAGCGCCCATATGGGATGCTGGCGTCACAGGCTGCAGCTTTACTTGCTACACTGGGATCTTGTGACACTGACTTAATAGATTGCAGAGACAGCCTCATCAGTAGTATGACATCCAGGAGAAATTAGAGTTGGCCGTTTGCCCCGTGCTTCTCTTTCACACCCCATATCCAGAGACTGGCGTCGTGTGGTCAGAAATGGGTGTGTGTGGGGTAGGGGGAGCAGTGATGCCAGGAGGCCTGGTCTGGCTTGGCCTGCAGTTATTACAGTGGAAGCCAGGGCAGAGAGACAGCCTTAGTGGGGCATCCGGAGCTGCCTGTCTCTGGAGGCCTCGTCTGTTAGCAGTGCTTTTGGGCGTCTGACTTGGGGAGTAGAGAGATGGGTGAAAAGGACTGAGCCTTTCCCTTTTATCTCCCGAATGCCCGGATCCTACCTGTCTTTCAAGATCCTGGCTCAGGTACCACATCCTCCTTAGAGTCTCCCCACTCCTGTCTCCCACCTGAGCTTCGCTGAGCGCCTGCACCTGTCGTGAGGAGTTTCCCACTCTGCCTTTCTCTGTGGCTGTAATTGCTGGGGACAGGGAGCAGCGTTGTGCGTGGGCACTCGTGTACAGGCTGAGGTTGCCGTCTCGCCTCCAGGTGGGATCGTAGAGGTCAAATTCATCGAGGCCTTGCGGGCTCTGTTCTGAGCTCCCCTGTGGGATGGGGCAGATGCGAGGTGACCAGACAGGAGGCCCAGTCTGCAGCCTGGAGAACAGGAGACAGGCTCTCCCCCTGCTTGTCAATCTTGACCCACCCTCCCCCCTACTCACTTTATTGCCCTTAATTGCTTGTTTGTTTGTCCTGGGCCCTTATCTGGGCAGCACCTTCCTTTCCATCTGTCTTGTTTCTCTTGCACACCTTCCCTGTCTTCCTCTGTCTGTCTCTGACCTGGCCCCTCCTCCCCCTCCTCCCGGCCCCACACCACTTCCGGAGCCCTTTATCTCTCCCGTTGCCTCTGTCTGCTCCAGGTCGGGAATTCTTGGCCCGCTATGTTTGGTCCCCTCTCCAAGGAACAGGCGTTGGCCATCAATCACTCATTGTGGCCAAAGGTATTCACCTCCCGGCAGCTCACACCCACACAAAAAGCTCCAGGAGAGGCTGACATGTGGCCCGGGCGGGAGACCCCAGGAGTGTTTTATGGCCATCTATGCATTTTTAAACAGATTGGCTAGGACCTGACCTCTTGACCACACAGTGAACCTTGGACATGCTTGCCTAGAAAGTTCTCTTGGCTTTGAGAGCGTCCCGTAGCTGTACTTTAGACGCTGACGGCAACACCGGTGGGCTGCTCTGAGGTTGTCACTCAAGGGTTTCTCAGCGTTTTTCCAGCGAGATGCCTTGCACCTAATCCTTGTGACAGTCCTGGCTGCGACCACCGAGCTCGTCACAGCTTTAGATAGAAAGGACTCTGCGAGGGGACAAGAGGGAGAACTAACAGATTTGAGAACTGACATATTTCACAAGGCTTTTTGAGTTAGCCGGAAGGATGAAAAATCGAGATTTCCTCCTCAATTCTCCTACCAAAAGGGCATGTGTAACTCGATAGTAAAATGGGAGGAAAATGCAGATGTTACTGTCTGCGAGGATGGAGGGGAGGGAGGTCTGAGTCGTGAGGGCCGTGCGTTCTTACCCTGGGATTGGCTTTAGTAAAATTCTTGCGCTTCCCCCATGGAGTCTGGCTCTGGCCCCTCCTTCTCCAAATCTCCCCAAGTGCTCACTCCCGTTTGCTCTGTGGCTTAGTGGCAGGGTACACTTCGTCCTTTAATGCTGCTTCCTGTCGGCTGGACGCCTGCCCCCTTCCTCTCACCCAAGGGCCACTTGCAGAGGCACGTCCGCTGGCTCAGACCTGGGGATTTGGGCTGAGGATAATTGCAGGTCCTATCTTTGAAGTGCCTGTTGGGCTGCAGGGTCAGTTCCTTTGTGCCTTGGGCCTGGAGCTTGCAGGCTGGGTGCTGGTCCCTGTAACCTAGGGGAGGAGCCTTTGTCTTTGTCCATACAAGCCACCTTTCAGCCCCAAGGCTGGGGTGTAGACGTAGCATCGTTCTGACTCCCTTCTGTGGGGCTCCCAACAGCTTACTGGCCTCTGTAGAGTGTTGTTTTCTCCACCGTAAGTAGTGGTAATAACTCCATGCCAAGGAAAGTCGGGAAGGGTTCGGACAGTGGTCCTAGGAGCTGATGATGGGCGTACAATTTCTTGCACCTGTGGCACTCTGCTCAACGCTGAATAAGAGACTCAACCTGGGGACTCTTAAAAATAAATCCGAGAGGAACCCTTGAAAAATGCCACCTGACTCCATTGGTGACAATGACTGTGGCATAAGAAAATGTTCTGTAGCTGGCTAGCATTTTTCTCCTGCCATCTGCCCTCCTGGGCCAGCTGCCAGCGGTATTTGACACAGTGCATCCTTAAGCTTTATTGAAAATCACTTTGTAAGCAGCTTTCTGCTCTGCTCTTGCTTGTACATGTCGATTTGGGATAACCCAAGATCAAGTCCAGTCCACAGTGCGTGGTTCAGTGACTTCGGGGCAGGTTTGTTTCCAAATGAATGAGGCGGATAGGTAGCCCTGTCCTGCTCCCCCACTCTCACGCGTGGTCTCCGAGTTTGCCCCTTGATGACAGCCTCTCCCCAGGAGTGCTTGGGTGGGAGGAAGTAGCCTTGCTTGTGAGTATGATGGTCTGTGGTGTGGCTCCTTGGAGCTAGCAGTACAGGGGAAGGGACCATTTAATTCTTAGGGCATTTGACAGGTTCAGTGAGAGCTTTAAACTAACCAGGGCCATGCCAGTGCTTTCTGTCATAGGTTTGTGACACAATTGGATTTCTTAAAAATTAATTAATTTATTTAAAAGGCAGAGCGAGCGAGAGAGAGAGACCCCCTAACTGCTAATTCACTCCCCAAATGCCCTCAGAAGCTGAAGTTGGACCAGGCCAAAGCCAGGAACTGTGGACTCAGCCTGGGTCTCCCACGTGGGTGGGCAGTAACCCAGCTGCTTGAGCCATCACCCATTGCCTCCCCTGACGCACACTAGCAGGAGGCTGGAGTCAGGAACAGAGCCAGGCACTTGGACCCAGGCACTCCGAGACTGGCTGTGGGTGTCCCAAGTGTCATCTTAACCACGGTGCCAAGTGCCTTCCCCTGGATTCTTTTTTTTTTCTCCCAATTTTTGGTTTTTTGGTTTGTTTGAGACCTTGATCAAGATAGAATTTTTCTTTTCTAATTGTTCAAATGACACATTATTATACCAAATTCAAGGAATACAAAACAGTGAAGCAGAGAGTGGAAGCGTCCCAAGTGCCGTCCCCATAACTGATAAGACCATGTGGTGGGGCCGGCGCTGTGGCGCAGCGGATAAACGCCCTGGCCTGCAGTGCTGGCATCCCATATAGGCGCCGGTTTGAGTCCTGGCTGCTCCACTTCCGATCCGGCTCTCTGCTGTGGCCTGGGAAAGCAGCAGAGGATGGCCCAGGTCCTTGGGCCCCTGCACCCACGTGAGAAACCCAGAGGAGGCTCCTGGCTCCTGGCTTTGGATCGGTGCAGCTCCGGCCATTGCAGCCAATTGGGGAGTGAACCAGCGGATGGAAGACCTCTCTCTCTCTGCCTCTCCTCTCTTTGTATAACTCTTTCAAATAAATAAATATTAAAAAAAAAAAAAAAAAAGACCATGCAGTCCCCACTGTGTCCTCCCAGGAGGTATTCCTGGCATCTGCTTCCAATCTGAGCCATGTGGGGTCCCAGGAAGATGTTTGCATGCATTTTTAAAAATATATTTATTTATTTATTTAAGAGGCAGAGTTACAGACAGACAGAGGGAGACACAGAGACAGAAGTCTGCCATCCGCTGTTTCACTCCTCAAATGGCTGCAATGGCCGGAGGTGGGCCTGTCTGAAGCCAGGAGCCAGGAGCTTCTTCTGGGTCTCCCACATGGGTGCAGGGGCCCAAGCACGTGGGCCATCTGCTGCTGCTTTTCCAGGCCATAGCAGAGAGCTGGATCAGAAGAAGAGCAGCTGGGACTCGAACCAGCGCCCATATGGGCTGCTGGTGCCACAGGCAGAGGCTTAGCCTACTAATCCACAGTGCCAGCCCCAAGATCTTTGCATGCATTTGAAAAGCAGCTTTCAGGACCAGAGCTGTGGTGTAGTGGGTAAAGCCACCGCCTACAGTGCTGGCATCCCATCTGGGCACCAGTTCGAGTCCCAGCTTCTCCACTTCCAATCCAGCTCTCTGCTATGGCCTGGGAAAGCAGAAGATGGCCCAAGTCCTTGGGCCCCTTACACCTGGGTGGGAGACCTGGAGGAAGCTCCTGGCTCCTTGCTTCAGATCAGCACAGCTCCAGCCATTACAGGCTTCTGGGGAGTGAACCAGCAGATGGAAGACCTCTCTCTCTCTCTCTCTCTGCCTCTGCCTCTCTGTAACTCTGCTGTTCAAATAAATAAATATTTTAAAGAAAGAAAGAAAGAAAGAGAGAGAGAGAGAGAGAGAGAGAGAGAGAGAGAAAGAAAGAAAGAAAGAAAGAAAGAAAGAAAGAAAGAAAAACAGCTTTCCCTCTTCACCTCAGCCCCTCTTGTCTGGTTGGCTTGTGGCTACGCTCCTCACCCTCTTTTTTTTTTTTTTTTTTTCCTTTTTAATTTTATTTACTTACTGGTTTGAAAGGCAGAGTGACAGAGAGAGAGAAAGAAATCTTCCACTCTCTGGAGCTGAGGCTAGGGCCAGGCCGAAGCAGGAGCCAAGAACTCCATCTGGGTCTCCCACATGGATGTCAGGGGCCCAAGTACTTGAGCCATCATTGGTCGCCTCCCAAGGACATTAGCAGGAAGTTAGATAGATGGGAAGTGTGGAGTAGTCAGGACTTGAACCAGGCACTCTCTGTGGGATGCGGGTGTCCCAAGCTGCGGCTTAACCCACTGTGCCACACGCCCGCCCCCTCGCATCTCCTGGGACTCTCCTTCTTATCACCGTCTGTCCGCTCCCCGCAGGCTGTGTACAAGATGGCAGACGTAGCCTGCAAGTGCCACGGCGTCTCCGGCTCCTGCAGCCTCAAGACGTGCTGGCTGCAGCTGGCCGAGTTCCGCAAGGTGGGGGACCAGCTGAAGGAGAAGTACGACAGCGCGGCCGCCATGCGCATCACCCGCAAGGGCAAGCTGGAGCTGGTCAACAGCCGCTTCAACCAGCCCACGCCCGAGGACCTGGTCTACGTGGACCCCAGCCCTGACTACTGCCTGCGCAACGAGACCACGGGCTCGCTGGGCACGCAGGGCCGCATCTGCAACAAGACCTCGGAGGGCATGGACGGCTGTGAGCTCATGTGCTGCGGCCGCGGCTACGACCAGTTCAAGAGCGTGCAGGTGGAGCGCTGCCACTGCAAGTTCCACTGGTGCTGCTTTGTCAAGTGCAAGAAGTGCACGGAGATCGTGGACCAGTACGTCTGCAAATAGCTGGGCCGGCGGCCCCGCCTCCCGCCACTCCCCGCCACGCTGCCTCTCCAAAGTCTATATTATATAAATCTATATAAATATATTTTATATTTGTATAAATAAGTGGATGGCTGATAAATAATTAAAAGAAGAAAACAGAAAAGAAAAAGCTTATTTAAGAGACGCTGGAGATGGTGGAGGCTGGGACTTTGCCAGCTCTCTGCGCCCAGCGCGTGGGAGGAGAGGGCTCCTCTCTGCCCGTGGCCTTGGGGGGTAAGGGTGTGCACAGGGGGAGGGGATGCTTTTGTCTGGAAGTCTGGAGTCTTTGTTGAGTAGACAAGCGGCCCAGAGTGTCCGTGGGTTTGGGAGTGGACGCCGGGTCTCCGCTCGCTTTCATTCACGCGCGCACCTGCAGAAGCCGCAGTCCAGGGACGGCGTCTTCCCCCCAAATGAGGACAGGTCTGACGTCATCTAACTCAGGGACCACAAAGGGACTGCCCCAGCCTTCCAGTGAGAATTACCCCCCTGCCGCAAGGAGCGGGGTCGCCCGGCCTGGCACGGCGGGGAAGACAGGGACTGAGCGGGCCCGCCTGCAGAAGGGGGGGGGGGGGCAGCCCGGGCGAGCCTCGCGCTGAAGCTTGGGTGCTGCTGCTCCACTTCCTCTACCATGGGAGGCCTGGCTGACAGGGGAGGCACAGCGCCTGGCCGCTTCATCTCTACCCTAGATGTACAGTTTCTCTCCAACATTAAACACCCTCCCTGAAGCTGCTCTCCCTTGCCTTCTGTGGACACATGGCTGTCTTTCAGGAGTCTTCCTTTATGTTGCATTTTTAAAAAAGATTTCTTGTAACTGATTTATTTGAGAGACAGAGTTTCCATCTGCTGCTTCACTCCCCAGATGGCTTCAACAGCTGGGGCCAGCGCCAGGAGCTAGGAATTCAGTCCAGGTCTGCCGTGTGGGTGGCAGGGACCCAATTATTCGAGCCATCACTGCTGCCTCCCAGGGTATGCCTTGGTGGGAAACTGGAGTCAGGAGCCGGAGCCGGGAGTTGAACCCAGGCACTGTGATGTGAGATGTGGATATCCTTTTTTTTTTTTTTTCCCTCCGAGGTTCATTTTTACTTATTTAAAAGGCAGAGTGACAGAGAGGGAAAGACAAAAAGAAATCTTCCATTCACTGATTCACTCCCCAAATGGCTGCAACAGCCAATGGCTGGCTGGTCCAGGCAAAGCCACAGCCTGGAACCCCATCCAGGTCTCTTGTGTGGATAGTAGGAACCCATCCTCTGCTGCTTTTCCATGCACATTAGCAGGGAGCTGGATGGGAAAAGGAGCAGCCGGGACTCGAACCGGCGCCCATGTGAGATGCTGGTGTCACAGGCAGCAGCTTTATCCACTATGATACAGCACCAGCCCCCACAAAGGAATATTTAAAGTCTCGGACTCCTTTGTGTGTCCCAGAAGCTAAAACAGTGCCCACCACGGGAAAGCACTCAATGATTCGTTCTGAAGGAGGGAATGATGGTTCCCACTGAACCGCTGAGGGAGCCCAGGCGTCCTGAGAGCGACTGCCCGGAGCCGGATGGAAAGGTGGGGATGGGCCGGGTTCGGGAAAGTCAGCGCCGCGTTGCCTTCTGCGGCCGCCCCGAGGCCTCTGCATCTCACTCCCTTACTCCTCTTCTTGGGGGCCGTCACCCACCTACCCTGCTTTCTCTTTCTGCCCAGCTTCCTCTGGTCCTGGGTGGGAAACCTGGCAGTGACAGCTTCTATGGTAACGAGCTACACTCCCAGCCACACACAGAGACCCTGAAGCTCTCGTGGTCCTTGTTCCCAGTTCCTGGGAGGTGTCTGGGGCCAGGGCTCCCTCCACCATGGCTCAGTGGAGTTCAATGGACTGCAGGTGTTTAGGTATTCAAAGTATGGGGTCTGCATTGTGGTACAATGGGTTGAGCTGCCACCTGTGATGCCGGCATCACATATGGGTCCTAGTTTGAGTCCCAGCCGCTCCACTTCTCCACCTCGGATCCAGCTCTCTGCTAATGTGCATGGGAAAGCAGCAGATAATGACCCCCTGCCACCTACATGGGAGACCTGGGTGGAGTTCCAGCCTCTTGGTTTCAGCCTGACCCAGCCCTGGCCGTTGCATCCATTTGGGGAGTGAACCAGCAGACGGAAGATCTCTTTCTCTCTCTCCCTCGCGCTCTGTTCCTCTGCTTTTTGAATAAATAAAATAAATAAAAAGAATTCAAGGTTGGGGAGTGAGTGGCTAACCTGAAATTGACATCCACATCCCACATGGGTGTGATGGGGTTTCATTCCTGCCAAGGCAGGAACGCCTGTGAAGCAGCAGGCATGGCCCACGTAGTTGGTCCCTAACACCCATGTGAGAGATCTGGATTGAGTTGCTGACTCCCTGGCCCAGCCCCAGCCATGGGGGTATTTAGAGAGTGAACCAGCAGATGGGAAAGAACTCTCTCCATGACCCTCTCTGACTCTCAAATAAATTAAAAAAAAAATTTCTTAATTCAAGGTGGAAGGAGCTACTGACGTTCTCATTCGAGTCCGTGCTGGAGTTTAGCCCCAGAGGGCGAGCGCGTAGCACAGCTTGTTGCTGTCCGTGTTTCCTACCCTCTCAGGATATTTTTACTGAGTCCTTTGTGAAGAAGCCATAATTAGGAGACTTGTCCTAAGCACCTGAGCCCTCTGGTGTGAAGCCCATGTTCCCTACACAGCCTTGGAAGGAGTAGACCCCCCTGCTGATCGGGTGAGGAGGAAGTGATGGTGCTAAGAACCAGAGGGCTGGGAGGAGTCGGGGCAGCCTGCTGTGGCCCGCCCTGCAGCTCTGGCCACTCCAATCCCTGTCTCAAGGGTCGTTCACTCCGGGAAGGAGGTTGGGAGAGGGATTTCAGTACCAGCTGCTCCTTCCTGCTCCCCACCTCCTGCCCTTCCAGATCTGAGGGTGCCAAAAAGATGAACCTGCAACAGACAGCACGGCTCAGATTTTCCTGCGCATCGTCCACGGCTCTCCAGGGCCTGCAAAGCAAGCGTCTGAAAACCTGCTTACCCTAGCGGCGACTTCTGGGGCCTTTCGTTTGTTTTGTTAAACTTACGTGGCAGAGAAAAGATACAATGCACTTCCATCCGCTAGGTCACTCCCCAGATGCCCACCACAGCTGGGGCTGGGCCGAGGCCAGAACCAGGAGCCAGAAGTCCCACCCGAGTCTTCCACGTGGGTGGCAGGGACCCAAGTCCTGAGCAAAGGCCGTCTCAACCTGCAATCTTAGCTCACGTTTGTAAAGCAGGAAATAGTGCCGCTCACACTTGTAAGGTGCTGTACTGCCTTCCTCCCTTTGTTTTCTAACCTGAAAACCTGTTCTGACCCCTCCTCTGGCTGAGAACAGAGCACTAGGGGCATTCTCTGGCACTCTAGGGAGTCCTCCCTGCGAGACCACGACTAGCCTGCAGTTCTCCAAGTGGCCACACGGTGTCGATGTCTTCTCAGTCCTGGTAATGTCTTCCTGACTCACGCTTCCGCTCCAAACTTGGGTTTTGGGGGTCTGTACTGCAGCCTACCTGAGTTTTGAGTTCTTGACTTTTTTCCATTTGTGTGGATCTGGAGGGATTAGATCAGTGGTTAGGAAGGAAACCATGAGGGGAATGCCTCCTCCGGGTCAGCTGTCAGGAGTCACTACGGAGGGCCCAGCACTGTGGTAGGTAAAGCCCTACCTCTTTGTGGGACCAGTTCAAATCTTGGCTGCTCCACTTCCGATCCAGCTCTCTGCTACGGCCTGGGAAAGCAGTGGAAGATGGCTCAGGTCCTTGGGCCCCTGCACCCATGTGGGACATGTGGGAGACCCTGGTGAACTCCTGGCTCCTGGCTTTGGCCTGGCCCAGCCTTGGCTGATGTGGCCATTTGGGGAGTGAACCAGAAGATGGAAGATCTCACTCTCAATCTCTCTCTCTCTCTCTCTCTCTGTAACTTAACTTTCAAATAAATAAATAAATCTTTTAAAAAAAAAGTCACCATGGGGCACCCGCTTGGCAGGTGGCTGTGTGCGAGGTTGTGCTGAGCCGGGGCTCACGTTGTTTCCTGCTCCTTGCTTCAGGCAGCTGAATATTTTGCATGCTTGCGTGTTATTAGGGAAGCGGCCATAATTTCAGCTACCGCTTTTCGTGTGCTTGCCGTGTGCCGGCTGCTTCATACACACGTCGTCTTACAATTCTCTCGGTACCTCTGCCAGATGGGCCTGCTGCAGAGGGCAAAGTGCACGTGGGAGAGGTTAAGGCACAGCCTCGGCCTCACAGAACTGACAGCTGATGCGGACTCCCGAGCGCTTCCTCGTTCCTCCTCCCTGGGTTTCTGGGTGGCCAAAGACTCCGCTCTCCTGAAGGAAGAGGTGCCCACTTCCTGCTGTCTGAGGGCGTGCAGAGCAGGAGAGACGCGACTACAGGGCTGTTGGCTGATAGGGTCACGTGGTCCAGAGAACTTGGGGATTCCAGAGCTAACACAGAGTGCACGGGGCCAGCCAGTGCGGGTAGTTGATTGACAGTGCCTGGCGCAGAGAGAAGAGCGCTGGGGGAAAGCTGAGCTGGGGGGAGTTGCCCCGGACCCTGACACTCAGCAGGTATTGCACACTTAGTGAAACACGGGCTCAGAGCTGCCTCATGGCGTTCGTCCTTAAAAGTATTTAATCTGGGCCGGCGCCGCAGCTCACTAGGCTAATCCTCCACCTAGTGGCGCTGGCACCCCGGGTTCTAGTCCCGGTCGGGGCACCGGATTCTGTCCCGGTTGCCCCTCTTCCAGGCCAGCTCTCTGCTGTGGCCAGGGAGTGCAGTGGAGGATGGCCCAAGTGCTTGGGCCCTGCACCCGAATGGGAGACCAGGAGAAGCACCTGGCTCCTGCCTTCAGATCAGCGCGGTGCGCCGGCCGCAGCACGCCAGCCGTGGCGGCCATTGGAGGGTGAACCAACGGCAAAAGGAAGACCTTTCTCTCTGTCTCTCTCTCTCTCTCGCTGTCCACTCTGCCTGTCAAAAAAAAAAAAGTATTTAATCTGATGTATTTATTTTAAAGGCAGACAGGTAGTGTATCAGGGGAGAGAGAGAGAGAAATCTTCCAGCTGCAGCAGTCAGGCTGGGCCGGGCCAAAGCCAGGAGCCAGGAGCTCCACCCTGATCTCCCACGTGGGTGGCGGGGGCCTAAATACTTGGACCATCTTCCATTCCTTCCCAGGAAGCTGAATGGCAGGTACAGGAGCTGGGGCTGTCAGCAGTGCAAGCAGGGGCTTACCCCACAACTCAGGCACTGGGGAGTCGCTCTACCCGACAGCCACAGCACCACTTCCCCTGAACTCCCAGGAAGGGAAATTTTCCTTCCATTGCTTTGCTCTGAGTAACAGTGCCACGGCCTTTACAGCTGGGAAACACTGGAGCGCCTCTGCCACGGTATGGGCGGGCTGTGAGCTCAGCATGCCAGCCTCCTGTCTCTGCATGAGGAAAGCGTGCCAGGGGACCGACCTCCTAAGAGACTTGCAAACTCATGGAGCCCGGCGCTGTAGCGCAGTGGCTTAACGCCCTGGCCTGCAGTGCCGACATCTCATGTGGGCACTGGTTCGAGGCCCGGCTGCTCCACTTCTGATCCAGCTCTCTGCTGTGGCATGGGATGGCGGTGGAAGATGGCCCGTGTCCTTGGGCCCCTGCACCTGCGTGGGAGACCTGGAGGAAGCTCCTGGCTCCTGGCTTCGGCCAATTGGGGAGTGAGCCATCGGATGGAGGACCTCTCTCTTTCTCTCTGCCTCTCATCTCTCTGTGTGGCTCTGACTTTCAAATGAATAAATAAATCTATAAAAAAAAAAAAAGACTTGCAAATTCAGTGATGTTTTCAGTCACTCTAAGGCCCCATCCCAAAGCAGTGTGGCCTGGGTGTGCTGTGCGGGTCATACCGTTGCACCAAGCAAGCCCCAGGAATTGCATGTTGGCCTGGAATGAGGGACAGAGGGAAGCAGGGGATGCTCAGGTATTGTGATGCCCACAAAAATGGAGAACTCGTCTCCCTCCTGCTTCTCGGGCCCCCTGCACTGCATGCGAGAGCAGCAGCCGCAGCTCCAGCCCCTATCTCACTCCCACGTCTCAACAGGGGCTTCTGGGTTCTGAGCAGGAATGAGGGCGCGGGCAAGCCATTGGTGAAGGAGGCGGGATGAGCAGCTCTTGGGCCTCCTGATGCCTCCCACGTCCTCCCCCTGCTCAGAGAGGAATGAGCCCGTGCCCTCGGGAGACGGTGTTTGCCAGCCCTGAAGGACGGGCTCTGAGTGTGGTTCCCACGCCACTGCCGACTTGCTCACGATCCACTGCCCCGCCCCATGACCAGCCGGCAACAGCCATGTGGGGCTTCACGGTCTCCCTTAACCAAGTCCTCCAGGAATCGCCTCTGCTTCCACCTTCAGTAACCCTGAACTTGGGCTTGGGCACGGAGGGAAGAATTTGCCCAAATGAAAACCTCGTGAATCTGTAAAACCAACAAGACTGGGTTTTCTGATGGCCGTGGACATTTGGCTTTTTAATCGCAGGGTCAGGAGACCAGCTGGCAGCCCAGGCTCTGTTGCAGGTTTGCCCAGGAGACTTGGAGGAGTGGGTGGGCCCCCAGGCCCTCGTTGGCCCACGGCTTTCTGCTGATGCGTCCAGCTCTGCCCGCCCTGCGGGGCTCTGCAGGGTTTGGAAGGTGTGCACAGTCCCGTTCCTGCCTCAGGGATTATCTCAGTTGTGCTGTGAGCTGACCCTTGTCTTCCAAGCTCTTCGTGGCTTCTCTCCAGCAAACTTGTGAAAAACAATTTCTCTGCCAAACCTTGCTGCTGCTAACAGGAAGACGCAAGGTGGAAAGAAAGGATCAAGGGTGACTTTCTAACCAGAGGGAGCTTTGTCCCCAGACAGGCGCTGGGGGGGGGGGGGCTTCCCTGCAGGCATCGTTGAGAACAAGAGGCCCTGGGATGTTTAGGATAAGTGAGTGGAGTGAGAGCCGTGGAGAAAACCTGATATCCTCCAGAGACTCTCTTCAGCCACAGAGTCCTGTCTTCCTTTAGCATATCAGCCAGCCCCCAAAACCCAGCAGCCAGGGCCCACGGCGCAGTGAGAGGAGCAGGCTCTCAGAGCGGCCAGCAGGACCGTGGGCCCCACCTGCTGATGGAAGCCCCACGCACGTGAAGGTTCTTGCCTGGAGATCCGGATCGGCGCGGTCTTTTTCCACCGAGAAATCTTCCTTCTTCCCCATGAGACCTTGGTCTTTCCTGAGACGCCTAGAGCGGAAAGGGAGGATGCTGCCTGTACAAAGAAAAACGTCTCAGCCTGTGCCCCATTGTTTCTACGGGACAAAGACCTTTGGGGACTTCAAAGAAGTACAGAAGCAGAAGGGAAAGCGAGCCCATTCCTGAGCCCTCCCAAGTCACAGCCAGAGAGCCAGGCTCAGAAAGGGGTCTCGGCCTCCTCGTGCGCCCCACACCCAGCCCACAGCCCGGCCTCCTCTCTGTTTGCAGGGCCCGGCTCACACCGGGAGGGGCTTCTGCCACCACTGTGCACACTTCGAGCTGGGCCCCCACGGAGTTCTTTGGGGCTGCCTCACACAATACAGATTACATTAGTCCTTGTGTCTCTGGGGAAAGGCCTTCCAGCTGTACACAACTGGCTCACAAACTCTCTGAGAACAATAGTCATCTATAAGCTGGGGACACTCTGTGCAGCGGCTTCCCACGGCCGGGCAGGCGGGAGGTTTCACCGACAGAAAGCGGGCCTGGGTGCAGACACGAGAGCCCAGGAGCACGCTGAGGCGAGTGGTTCCAACCCACCTGCTGCACCCTCCCCGGAACACTGTTGGGTAACTGTGACCTCCTGTAAGGTAACCGAACCTCAGAGGTTGGCCTGGCCAAAGAATGTGAAAGGGAAAAACTCACTTGCTAGCAGAACACTTCCCATTGTTCTTGCTTATCTTGTGATAACACAGAGGCAGGGACATTGTTTGCAAAGTCAGAACAGTGAGGTCTTTCATCCCCCAGGACAGGACTTGTGGAGCTCCAGACAGCAATTAAGCCTTTGTGTGGCCTCAAGCTTATAGAATCAGAGTGGGGGCAATGTTTAAATATTGCAAACACAGGGACTGGCATGGTGGCACAGCAGGTTCAATGGCCACCTGCGACACTTGTGTCCAGTATGAGTGCTGAATTGAGCTGCTCCACTTCTGATCCAGCTCCCTGCTGATGCTCCCTGGAAAGCAGCAGAAGATGGTCCAGGTGGTTGGGCCCCTGCCATCCATCTGGGAGACCTGGATGGAGTTCCAGGCTCCTGGCTTTGTCCTGGCCCAGCTCCTACTGTTGCGGGTATTTGGGGAATGGATCAGCAGATGGAAGATCTCTCGCATGCACTCTCTATGGCTTTCAAGGAAATAAATAAAATCTAAAAAACAAAAGTAAAATTACAAATGCAAAATTATGAACAGGGCCTTCTAGGTCAAGTAGAAACCCTGGAGCTCATGCTTCATTCAGTAGAATGGAAAGTCCAACTCTGGCTCCGCTACTGGAAACTGCGGCCGAGAAATTATTGTTACCTCGGTTCTTTGTCTCACATGGAAGAAGAATTTCCAAGCAGACAGCAAAGAGATTTAAAAGTATTTATTAGAGGGACCGACTGTGGCATAGCGGGGAAAGCTGCTGCCTGCAGTGCTGGCATCCCGTACGGGCACTGGTTCAAGTCTTGGCCACTCCACTTCCAATCCAGCTCTCTGCTATGGCCTGGGAAAGCAGTAGAAGATGGCCCAAGGCCTTGGGCCTCTGCACCCACGTGGGAAACCTGGAAGAAGCCCCTGATTCCTGGCTTTGGGTCAGCACAGCTCTGGCTATTGCAGCTATCTGAGGTGTGAACCAGCAGATGGAAGACCTTTCTCTCTCTCTGCCTCTCCTTCTCTTTTTGTGTAACTCTGACTTTCAAATAAATAAATAAATCTTTTAAAATACAATCCTGGAGGCCAAACTGTCAATCAACAAGGTGGAGGGGCCAGCTCTGTGACGCAGCAGGTTAAAGCCCTGGCCTGAAGCGCTGGCATCCCAGTGGGTGCCGGTTCTAGTCCTGGCCGCTCCACTTCTGATCCAGCGCTCTGCTATGGCCTGGGAAAGCAGTGAAAGATGGTCCAAGTCCTTGGGTCCCTGCACCCATGTGGGAAACCCAGAGGAGGCTCCTGGCTCCTGGATTCAGATCGGCCCAGCTCTGGCCGTTGCGGCCATCTGGGGGGTGAATCAGAGGATGGAAGACTTCTCTGTCTCTACCTCTCTCTGTAACTCTTTCAAATAAATAAAATAAATCTTAAAAAAAAAAAAAAAAAAAAGAGCCGGCGCCGTGGCTCAATAGGCTAATCCTCCACCTTGCGGCGCCGGCACACCGGGTTCTAGTCCCGGTCGGGGCGCCGGATTCTGTCCCGGTTGCCCCTCTTCCAGGCCAGCTCTCTGCTATGGCCAGGGAGTGCAGTGGAGGATGGCCCAGGTGCTTGGGCCCTGCACCCCATGGGAGACCAGGAAAAGCACCTGGCTCCTGGCTCCTGCCATCGGATCAGCGTGGTGCACCGGCTGCAGCGGCGGCCATTGGAGGGTGAACCAACGGCAAAGGAAGACCTTTCTCTCTGTCTCTCTCTCACTGTCCACTCTGCCTGTCAAAAAATAAAAAAAAAAAAAAAAGGTGGAGATAAATTCAACTCAACAAAAGACCTGATTTACAATTCTCCATCCTGTCTGGCCTGCTAAGGGTGGGATAGGTAACTTGTTTTCACAATAAGCTGTGACCTCAGGAAGAGCTCCCTTGGTAAATTTGAAGATTCCGAAGGAAGGAGGGTGGCCTGTTTGTTCTAGCTAAAGATAACCTTTTGGGGAAGGAAGAAAATATTTTACACCCCAAATTCCATTGGGGTCCCCTGACTACCTATTAACCCATCTGACTCCTCACCGTGCTAGGGAAAGAATCTAGAAGATGCCATGAAAATACAGTCTTATAAGGCTTTAACTTGCTTTCCCGAAAATAATCCCACCGCTTCTTGCCCACTGCATCCTGGATTTTCCCGGACACTGCCATGGGGTTTACAAACCCTCTGGGCTAAGGCTCTTTCCTGCTCTGCACCGCAGGGTGGGGGTCTCTGGGATCTCCACACAGCACTGTCGCAGCTGGGCCCGGGGCTCCCTCCAGCCTGGCCACCTTCTCCCCATGTTGCTGTTGTACTTCACCCACCATGGGGCCCCTCGTAAGGGCACTGAGGATCCGGCCATGTGGCCACCGTCTCCTACAGCGGGTCAGGCTCGGGGAGCCACTGCCTAGAGCTGGCCCTGTCACATCCCATCATCCCTTTATTGTCTGAAAGCTATCTGCAACCCAGCCCAGCCCCTCCCCTCACCCCAGCTATGCCTGCCTTCACAGCCTGTGGCTGCACCTCCATCCTGTCCCACCTTGGGGGCTCTACTGCCCTCCCCTCTCAGGTTCCTTCTCACAATCAGTCTCCACGCTATGTTTTCTGTTTGACCCCAGTATGCGGACTCGACCTGCGGGGTCCACACTGCCGGGATGGTGGGGCGAAGGCGTTCTTTGACAAGAAGCACCGGAGACAAGTTTCGGTGAACACGTCCCTTTATTAACAACCAAGCACACCTTTTAAAGGGCAGCAGATAGGAGACCAGGATAAGCGCCTGGCTCCTGCCTTCAGATCAGCGCGGTGCGCCGGCCATTGGAGGGTGAACCAATGGCAAAGGAAGACCTTTCTCTCTGTCTCTCTCTCTCACTGTCCACTTTGCCCGTAAAAAAAAAAAAAAAAAAAAAGGACAGCAGAGGGGGTGTAGCT